CACGCAAACACACACACATACAAAGACATGCATACAAACACACATACATAAAGGTTCACATTCACATATATACAAGCACACACTCAAACACACACACACATAGACACACGCACACAAACACGCACAAACGAAGATGATATATACACAAATAACATGCACGAAAATATACGCTGACACACATATACACACAGTCTCTGTCTCTCTTCCTCCCTCTCTCTTTCTCTCTCTCTCTATATATATATATATCTGTCTATCTATCTATCTATTGCACGCATACAAATAAACTAATACACGCACACATACACAACACCATACTTGTACACACACACACACACTGGGATGCATACACTCTTACCTATGCGAGTTCAGACACATACAAAATTACACTGACACACACACACACGCAAACACACTCACGCACGTTTACATATATACATATACGCTCACACACACGGAAACATAAACACATGCACTCATTTACACACACACAAATATATATACACACACACACAAACACTCAGACACCTCTCCCAGCCTCTTTTTTGTTAAGAGCCGATTAACTTCGGGATTGGATTCATTGCTTAGGAAGAAAACAGGTTAAACTGTTTTGACTGGGCTGAGACATCTCTCTTCCCTTTCTCTAGTTCCTGGGGATCTACCTACTATGCAGCATCTCCACATATGGAGTAGAGTCTCCTGCAGCTATATCCTGGTGAACATGGACAGATATGCGTCTAATAAACCAGAAAATCTGTTCGAGTTTCCCTGATAAAAAAAAGTAAATCCTTTTGCTATACTTCGTCTCCATGGCTGGACGAATTGTGTGCAAATCTACCTACCCCACCGGTATGTTGGAGTGTATTTATTTATTAAACTTGAAACAAGACGTGCCAATATAGTAAGATATGTTACACGGACGTGGGATCAAAATGAATACGATCGATCGTTGCCTAACATAAAAAGTTAAGAACTGAATTTTGTTCTGAAACGTTCACTAGCTATGCGATTAATAATCACCTTTATATTAAATGCATTGATAAAAAGGGATTATGGTAAAACATATTTGTTGTGCAAAATTTGCTTATCGTCCGGTTCACGCTCCTCCTCGGTTTTCTGACCAGAAATAGAAGTTTATCCCTTGTTCCTTGTTTAGGACTGGGTTTCCGGCTCCTTCTAAAGTCTTTTCATTCTCCTTCACTTACAATAGCCCACCTTGCGTCTTAGGGGTATTGTCGCCTTGAATTGATTTAAAAAAATGAAATAAAAGTTTTTTTTTTTTTTCAGCATTATGCTACTTTTATTGATACCATTACGGATTATTATTTAATGAGTTGTATTTGGCGACCCTTGATAGGAATCAAGTGACAGCAAGTCTTCTCAGGTTTTAGCCGTGTTCTTTCTGATTTTAATGATGTCTTGGTTTGAATATAGTTTTTGTTCTACTTCTACACTCTAACTGTCTTTTTTGTCGTTTTTTTTTTCTTTTTTTTTTTAATTTTACAAGACAGTTTTAATAGTTTCCATAAAAATGGGGAATTTTTAAAATCTTTCTTTTGGTTCTTTGGCAAATTATTCTATATTTACATGAACTTTGACTTGTCTTCTTCTTCTTCTTCTTCTTAATATTATTATTATTATTGTATTATTATTTGGAATCTTCAGTTTTTACTGGAGGTCACGTGACAGCAAGTGACTCCAATACTTTAGCACTTGCCTACTAAGTGAACAAAGTAATGCTGTCGTCTGCATGGGACAATTCTTCCATGGTGTCACCATTCCTTTGTTGGGTGGAAAATATGGACCTTTTCAGAAAAAAAAAGAACGTCAGTATATTGAATTGGTCTTTTTTTCGTTCAGAAATTGGTGGTAAGTGAATGTTTATGAATGGTTAATAAATGTTTCTAAATGGTTAATAAATGTTTATGAATGGTTAATGAATGTTTATGAATGGTTAATGAATGGTTAATGAATGTTTATGAATGGTTAATGAATGGATAATGAATGGTTAATGAATGTTTATGAATGGTTAATGAATGTTTATGAATGGTTAATGAATGTTTATGAATGGTTAATGAATGGTTAATGAATGTTTATGAATGGTTAATGAATGTTTATGAATGGTTAATGAATGGTTAATGAATGTTTATGAATGGTTAATGAATGTTTATGAATGGTTAATGAATGTTTATGAAAAAAAAACACGTAAGAATGATGAAAACAGAAAAGTCAGTTATGTGTCATGCGTGATGCACGCTAAGGCGATCATGTATCTTTTAATACATGATTGCCAAAGCAGATTTTTTCCTGCAGTAGGTTGCCATTTCTTTCTGTGTTAAACCAGCTGCCATCTAAGGCTATAGAACCCGGTCTGTCCTGCTATTTACCCATAGCTCCACCGTATTGAAATGAAGGAAGTTTAAAAAGAAAAAAGAAAGTAGTATTAAAGGAAGAAAAGATGGAAAGAAAACGATAAATGAAAAAGAAAGAATTAATTAAATAAAAAAGGATTCAAGGAAAAATACAGAAAAAGAAAAAAGGAACTAAAGAATGAAAAACAAAACAGAAGAAGATAGAAAAATTGAAGTAATAAAGGTTGAAAAAGTGAAAGAAAAAAAGAAATAATAATAATAATAATAATAATAATAATAATAATAATAATAATAATAACAATGTAGTTGGAGCCCTAGGACTGGTTGGAAAAGATTGCAGTAGACTAATTGAAGGGATTCCTGGAAGTCCATGCCTCAAGGAGATACAAAACATTGTTCTGACAAGTACAGCCCACACTTTACGAGGGCTTTATCTATGTAATTTTTTTTTTTTTTTTCGTCAGTGGAAAGTGTCATGACGCCATTTCTAACCTTAGGTCCCTGGGCGGGAACCGGAAAGAAATGTGTAAACGCCAGAAACCAAAGAAAATAATAATAATAATAATAATACATTTCCTGCTACATAGTTTCCTTCTATTTAACAGTTGAAGAAATAAAAATAAGAAATGCATAAAATGATAGAAATAAAAAAAAAAGAAAAATTTAATAAAAAAGAAGAAAGAGAAAAGAAAAACAAAATTTACATATCGGACAGGGAAAAAAAAAGACAGATTTATTTTACGATGCCCCAGAAATAGTTTTATGTTGTTCTACAGAAGGATACTGAGAATATTATGGGCCGAACATGTGAGTAACGATGAAATTCTAGAAACAATGAAAACAAAAATTAAGACTTATAATTAACACCAAGAAGAGATAGTTGAAATTTCTGGGGTTCATAATGAGAAAAGAGGGCTTGGAAAATGTGATACTCACAGGACAGATTGAAGCTAAGAGGTCCAGGGGGAACCGACGCACAACCTATGGGGTGAGCTTGAGGGAACAGATGGTAAGGCAGGGTTTAGGAGAGATGATAAAAAAACAAAAATTATTAAGAGATACAAAAGATAGGAAGTTGTGGAGAGACATAATCACTAAAGTCCCAAAGGAGAAAAAGAACAATCGGGATTTCTTTTAAAATTGCATTTTTTTTTTTTTTTTTTTTTTTTTGGATATGAGAAATGATAAAAAAAAATCACTGTAGTTGTATCTTTCTATTCGTATCAAAAGTCAGTTTTCGGGATCAAGTAACAATCAGAATTTCAAATACTGATTTTAAATTCATGCACACAGGCCCTTCCCGCTCAGAAGATTAGCGGGTTCACACTCTTCCTATCAACTTGTTTAAGTTAAGCTTAGTAAATATAGAAAGAAAGAAAAGAGAGGAAAAAATGACTAAAACGAAACAATGAATGAATGAAAAGTTCGAAAACCAAGCTATGGGTTTTAGTCTGTCTGTGTTGGGATGGCGGTGGGAAAAGAGAGTAAGGCGCAATCAAGTCGGCCCAGCAGTCAATCCATCCATGCACAGCCCACACTGTCCGCCCATCGTTATATGGGAGTTCTCATCGTCTGCCTGAAATCTTCAGTCGGGCTACGGCAGCGACTGAGACAACATCAACGCTCCTATTCCGGTTGGTGTACGTTGCTCACTCGTCGTAACGCACCTTTACTACGTGTTCAGACCTCATTTGGTTTTAGTTTTTATAAGCAGCAAAGCCAGCTTTGTTTTGATATATATATATATATACATATCTATATATATATATTAGCTTGCTGACTGGCTCATTAGAAATAATTTAAAAGATAATTTTCTTTTAGTTTTTTTCTACACGGCGGAAGGGATAAACGCACACACTGAATTTAGCTTGTTGTGTTGTCAAAAACCGATTAAATTAAATAAGCTGATTGCTTCAAGCGTCTTTCGACGTATCTGTCTATCTATATAATATACGCTATCTTTTAGTCTCACACCTGAGTTGAAGTTGAAACTGTTTAAAAAGCGACCTATCACGGAGTATGATTTAAACTCGGAAGAGACAAAAATAAAAAGGAATACATTTATTGTGAGTTTCTGTGACATTTTCTTTTTTTAAGAAAAAAAAAACAGAAAAAAAACTTTTAAATATATTTCTTTATTTCTAAAGGTCGATATAATCTTTCTCGAAGACTAGAGAATTTTTTTGTGTCGTGTAAGAAGTGTTTTACAGTGCTTTAGAGAGGCTCTCTCTTCTTGTGAGTCACAATCGAGCTGTAACAGCGCCAACTAAGCGAGTTGTACGCATGCTTTTCAGCGTTTTACTTTTATTTATTGTTTATGAACGTTGAAAAAGCATGAGTAAGGACGAAAAGTAGAAATTAAAGACCGTGTTAAAAGAAAAATAAACAGGAAGAAAAAAAAGAGTATTATTATAAATAAGAAAACTGTTTAACTAAAAACACGTCGGAGAAAAATATTAAAAAAAAGGCAAATATTTACTGATAGAAAAAGAAAAAGAAAGAAAAGAAATGAACACACACTGACACACATACATCATTTTTAATCTTATTACCGGATTTTCTGTTTTGTACAAGTGGATTTCTTTAACCCCAATAAATATTGGATTATAATTCACCCCCCAAAAAATTCACGAACAAAGGAAACATCGCTTGAAACGTTGACACGGAAAACGTCACGGAAAGAAATCGAGTAAAGTATTCTTTGATGTCGAAAAAAAAAAGGCCAGCGTTTAACAAGGTTGACGAGGCAGTACTTGCCATTCTTATAAAAAGATTCAAATAGCACCGAATTCGCACCTGTCATATAACGACTACGGCTCATATTTCATAACAGCTAAGAGGAAATCCTAAACACATGAGAGAAAAACAAAACAAAAAATACGATAATTTACACGGATGTATACTATCTTCAAGCATTTGTAAGTAAACAAATATTTTCTTTTCTCACTTGTAAGCAAAGCGTTTATCATCACGTTTAAACATATTTGTTGTTTCCAAAATAACATATAGTTTAAATTTAATAACCCATGTCCGTACGTGTGGCTGATGTAATCATTGTAATTTCATTTCATTTTTTAACTAGTGTATATTTATAACTAGTAATAAAAAAGTTAAAAGTAACTGACACATATGCATTATAGCGACCCATCGTTATATTTATTTATTTACTAAAATTTATTTTATAGTCTCTGTTTATCATAATGAATAAAGGACGTATTTACTATTTATAAGTTTATAAAGGAAAATTCTATGTAAATACCTACTCTTAGAATGTTGTCAGTTGTACGGATAAATTGAGAAAAGCTTTGTGCAAAGTTATGAACATTTAATACAGTTGTTCTTCGTTTTGGCCAGTATTTATTTTCATTTTTCAAATAGCTATTTAAATAACAACTTTTACAAAATTTCTAAACCTGTTTATAAACATATATATATATATATATATATGTATATATTTATAAACATAATCCCACTAAGGCTAATCCCACTACAAGAATATTTATAAACATAAACATATATATATATATATATTTATAAACATATATATATATATATATTTATAAACATATATATATTTGGGAATGTCTCTCCCTCTGTGAGTGGACACATGTCTCTTTATGTTGAGTTAAAATGTGACAAATCATGCGTACCTTGTAGATTCAAAGGTATTTGCTTAGATTAACTGGGATGGCACAGTGCTAGGAAAATAGGCCATTCTTCTTAGGATCGAACTCGGTAGATCTGATTTCAGGCACTACACTGCTCGGTGTTGTTTTTCATTGCCGTGAGACTGTAAACACGTAAAACAAAACAAAAAGTCAGAACTATTTACAAATCAGTTCGCCAGAAAAACAAAAACAAAAACAAAAAAAAAACCCTGCTCTTAACAAAGATGCTTACTAAACAGTATAAATATCCTAATGAAAAATATCGGTGGTACCCGTACCCAATTTACTTGCTTTTCCACCGGTTTCTTCGAAATATACTATTTGGACATGTGTACATTGAGCTGAAGTATCGATCAAATATCTCACGTATTTTGGTAGCACATTTTTTGTAAATATCTAAATATCACTATATAAATTTTAAGTAAACGTTCAACGTTGACAAAGCACACAGGCGTGTCCGAGAATGTTGCACATGTTTTTCCATTTGTCTATTTTGTTTATTGGCCTAATAATAATAGTATTAAAAATAATAATCATAATAATATATAATAATTGTAATAATAACAATAAAAGCAATATAATAATATATAATAAATAATGTTTCACTTTCCCTTACAAATATTCTTTACATCGGCTTACTATATTTACAAACAAACATACGCACATACACACATATTATATATATATATATATATATATATATATATATATATAAATTGATGTCAACACCAAGCGAGGAGAGTGTTTACTTTCATGCTTCAGCGAAGTCTTCTGGTCACATATCTTCAGGCCATTATTATAGCACACTTTAAAACTCTAGTTTTTTCGTGTATATTTTTATTGTTTATATATATATATATATATATATATATATATATATATATATATATATATATATATATATATATATAAACTTCTCCTCTCTCTTCTCTTCTCTCTCTCTCTCTCTCTCTATATATATATATATATATATATATATATATATATATATATATATATATATATATATATGGTTTCGTTTGTATGTCTGTAGGCATATATAGTGTATAGAGTGTCTGTAGAATGTCTGTGTATAGTTAGTCCTGTCTGTACGTATGTGGGAATACATGGCACTGTACTGTCTTTTGTTGTTACATACATACATACATATATATATATATATATATATATATATATATATATATATATATATATATGTATGTATGTATTTATGTATGTATAATCATCCACGAGACTGTTTTGCTGTATCACAGCTCATCGGTATGTTTAGGCAAATGATTCAAACATAAGCCTTTTACAATTGCTTATTACGTGTTTATTAGCTGCATTTATTAATACATACCAACATATGTATAGGAAGTTTTCTATGTGTTAATGTTGTATTATCATCAATACACATTGGCGTGTCTACCAATTGCCATACAGACGGCTTAGAGACTCGCTTGATGATATGCGTTTTCTTTTTTACAGGTTTTTCATATTCTGCGTGTGTCATTTTTTTAAGTTTAACAAATATTGACACATGATAGACACGTCTTGAGGATCTGAAAAACATTTCGAATAATTTAATTTGTTGATTTGTAATTGATAAAGACTTTTCGATTTGTGAAAATCATTTGCGAACACGCTACTGCTTAAAATAATATTACCACGAAAATATATGCCAATTTTTAATGGCCTACCGTAGTGCAATGGTTAACGGATGGTTTATATTTTTAATCGGAATAAAAAATTAAAAAAAGTACATAACCAGTTACAAGGGACCACCACCCACCCAGATAGTAGGGAACCTATTGCACTAACAGAGAAAAGGTTAGAGCCAATCCCAAATATCTAAGGTGTCCCGATAGAAAAGTGCCAATGGGTCTGAGGTTCATATACACAATTCATAGGACTTCTTGAAACATAACCTCGTGCTATATTCTGGGTAGGCATAGAGAGGCAGTGGCGATTCTGTAACTCTGAAAGGGTGGGGGGGGCCTTGGGGACCGAGATTTTTCTGCGGAGGAGGAGGGAGAGGCAAATTCAAGCAGCGTCTTTATTTTCATACTACACCACTATCATATACACAACTTAGGAATGAGTTTTAGTATAAGTATGTTACTTCACTAAATTAAAAGAAATAACTTTTCATAGTAGTGGAGTTCTAATCTATTCTTGCCCTCTTTTCCACTCTCAAGCTATTGGACCACAAGAGAGGTTAACTTCAAAACAAAATCAAAGGGTTTATACTAACATCAATACTAGCAGAATGGTGTAATTTGTCTGCTCTGATTTTTCCTCTACAAAACTTAGAAAAGTGGGGGGGCAACCGAGGGGCCAGCCATAATTGGGAGGGAGCAACCGAGGGGTCAGCCATAATTGGGAGGGAGCAACCGAGGGTTCAGCCATAATTGGGAGAGGACACTGGCCTCTTCTGCACCCCCGCGTAGAATCGCCACCAGTTTTATGAGTTTGATAAAAATTAGAAAGAAAAAAAAAATCGAATATTTTGTATGGAATAGTATTTAATTGATAGAGCGATTTGATTTTTTACGGCTTATCAACTTTTTGAAGTTTATTTAAAACCAGAAGATATTTTTAGATTGTGATAATCTTTAGAGATAATTATGACTTACTGACACAAGTCTTACTAATTAAACCATAGCGGGTAGGAGAAGAGGTCGATTCAAACCTTTCCCGAGGGTATTTGCGCAGAGGCGAATATAACGAACCCGACTGGAATTGAAACCCAGCCCTTCAATTTCCAATTCCATTCCACCAACCGCACATCCAAGGTGGTGTAACTAAGCGGCCACCTATCTAGGAAATAACCAGGCACGACGTTGCTTAACTTCGGCGATCGTGAGAGAACCGGTTTTCAACGTGATATGGCCGTAAGCTCTATACATGAAAGGAAGATGGCAGATACAGAATTTTCTTTTTAATCGGTATCACCCCATGAAAGGCAATAAAGCCACTAAGACACAGTGGGTTACAGGGTGTAGAAGAATTAGGAACAGAAATATTAATAATGAGCGGGAAGAGAAAAGAGTAATCAGGAGGACAGTAGATAGCGATTGACATTGCATTTAAATTTTTGCAGATTAAAATTGGCTGGAAAGCATGGAGCCGGGAGGGATTTCCACAAGCGTAAAGTGCGAGAAATGTTCGCATAGAATTTACGGTTACAATTACATCTAGTCAGAAATTGAATAAAATATTTTTTTTTTAACAATTTATGCGGGAGAGTATAAAAATACCGTATTAAATATGATGTTTAATAATAATAAAAAAAGTTAGAAAATTACTTTCAGCAAAAATCGTGTGTTTGTGCGCGTGCGCACCTACGTGTGTTGAAATGTTTATATTCACTGTTTAAACCCGGCCTGTGTGTAAATTTGGCTTTTTTTGTGTGTAAGCCGGTATAAAATCCCGATGAACCGACACACGCACACTTGTGTAGATTTTAAATTTGGGGCGTGTTTTCTACCGCAATTTAACCGCATGGGGGGGGGACACTTTGTGTTTCCCATATGGATATGTCTACACGCGAGGAGGTCGGATGGTTAAATTTTTATGACACCGCAACCCTTCTTGAGTCATTTAATGACGAAATTTCAATGGTGTGAATCGATTTCACTACTCAACAGATATGGTCATCAAGCCTAGTCTCGTTATCCATTACCCCACGCCGAGGTGCTTAAAGGAAAAATTACGAGAAGTGGGAATACATGTTAAAATTAAAAATCCTGTTTATAAAAAATCGTGATGTTGCTCATTTGATAAACACGTAGCTTCGAATCTAGTGCCTTGGTCAGTGAAAACGGCACAGTTTACAGTGCAAAAGGCAAAATTCTGCTCATAATTTCTGGATAGCGAAATGTAGAGAATACATTTTCTAAATAAATTATCTAGAAAGCAGAATTTAATTTGTAATTAAATGTTACATGACGTAAAAACTTTTTCTTTTCTTTTTTCTTTTTTTAATATTTACGCATGCACAGAACACCGAGCCATTATAAAATCCGATTAAAATTAAATTCATTATTTTTTGTTGGTTTAAATTTATGTTTCAATTGGTTTTTACAGAAAATTATTTCGAAAATTAGT